AATAGCTTTAGTTGGAGAAGCCAGAGGGTGTAGATGATCTGTGACAGGAGAGGAAGTGGGCAGCTAGGTGGCACAGTGTATAGAGCACTGGCCCTGGATTCAGGAGGACCTGAGTTCAAATGTGGCCTCAGACACATAGCACTTACTAGCTGTGTGACCCTGGGCAAGTCACTGAACCCCACTGCCTAACCAAAACAAACAAACAAAACAAAAAAAGAGAGAGGAGAAGAAGTAGAGGCAGGTAGTGTAGACAGCTTTCTTTAGGAGTTGAAGAGGAGAAGAGATACAGGAAGATAGCTAAGAGGGATGTGAGTCATTTAACCTCTCCCTTCACTTAAGCTCCTTGGATTAGATGACCTTTTAAGGTGCCAGATTCTAACTCTAAATATAGGATCCTGTGATCTTCAGACTAAATCTTCAGGACCTTCAGTTTTTAACCCAGAATCATAGAGCAAACCTATTAGATTTTTAATTTGTGCTCAAGATTAGACACCAGACCACAGCAGCCTCCAAGATCCCTTCCAACGCTCAATCTATGATCTTGTGAGCTATGGAAGGCCCACAAATTTGTTGAAGGTGCTTAGCCTGGGACTCTTAAATACAGTCTTACTTGTGCAACCTGGCCCTGGGCGCCGAGCCAGCAGAGGGCATCAATGAGCTTTTGCCATTTGCCAAAAGACAATTACAAGATCTACTATTTGGGTCTCCCACTGCTCGTGGGCTAAGGAGACACAATTCCAATGTGATGATGCCTGGCCCAGACAGTCTAGCTAGTAGTAGAAGGGTTTGCAGGTCCTTCCTGTCCACCAGGGGGGAAAGAGGAGGGCCTAAAGGGAGCTGATGACTCACCTTCTAGGAGGCTCTGGGGAAAGGGAACACAATGGCTAAGGTCACTGCCTGGAAGTGGGTGGTAAAAGCTTCTGGGTGACCCACAAGGGTCTAATTCTCTGGGCAGCCCCTGGAGTTCTTGTCTGAGAGATGGGGCTCTGTCAGGAGCTTCTGTTTGGAGTTTCAACAAAAATCTTTTCCATCATATCAACCTTTCCCCCAAATCTACTTGAAGGCAGAATAGTTCCTAACCTTACCTAGCACAGAGAGGAGTTGTCTGAAGATCCCTAAAGAAGAAGAGCTTAAGAGGGGAGAGTTCTGCAGATTTTTGTTATAGTGGGTAGTGCTGCCTTACCCAGTTTGGGGGAGGCAAATTGGACTCATGGTTCTAGCCTACTCTGGTTGGAGTCTACAATAGGACCCAGGGTGAGGGGTAGAGATGAAGCATACTTGCCAACCTACTCCCTCACCACTGTTAGGATTTCAACTGGCATTATTCAGGAAAAGCCAAATTGGAAAATTAAGTTTGAAATGGAGGGAGGAGCAAGACAGGGGGTGGGGGGTGGGAGAGGGGTGGGATTCAAAGTAAACAGCTCTCAGATGTGTCAGACAAGGAAAAGGAAAGCCCTAGCTAGAAAATCCCTAGTCTTTGGCTACCTTAGCCTGGGAAAGGTCATAGCGGCAGAGCTGGAAGGGACCTCAGAGGTCACCTAGTGTAATCTCTTCATTCTGCAGATGAGAAGAGTGAGGCCTGGAGACATTAAAGGACTTTGCTAAGGTAACACAAGTAGTCGCTGGGGAGTCTGAACTCAGATCCAGCATGTTTTCCATCGTAGCGGGCCACTTCTCTTGTTTCTTTCTTCGTCAGTCAAGAAGCAACAACTATTTATTAGGAGTGTGTCAGGCACTGTTAAGTGCTGGGAGACACAAGGAAAGGTAAAAGACAATCCCTGCTCTCAAGGAATTTATAGTCTAGTGGGGGAGACAACATAGAAACAACCATGTACAAGCGAGATACAGGCAGAATAAATTGGAGATCACCCACAGAAGGAAGGCATAAGCATGTAGGGATGTGTTTGTGCGTCGAGGGAGGCATATGTTGTTATCTGGAAATTGATGAATTATTTTGATGATTATAATAGAGTTGGAAGGGACCTTAGAGCCCACCTATTTTACAGTTAAGGAAATAGAGGCCCAGACTTGGGCAAGACTTGTCCAAAGTGATGCCCAAAATAAGTTAACGGCAGAGTAGGAACTAGAACCCAGGTCTCCTGGGGCCCAATCTGGTCCTCTGTCCACATCCCCCTTTCATTCTTCAAAAGGTTACCCAAAGTCCAGGGCAGCTCCATGGAGGTGCCTCTGAGATCTGAGCTGTTCTCGAGATGCCCAGAGCTGGTGAAAGTCAACAGGAAGGGTGCAGGTGTTTCCTGATGCTTTATGGCATAGCCACTCTGTTCTTTTCACTCTGATTTAGAGGTGAGGAGCTCTCTCCTTCTGTTTCCCATTCTCATCACCCTAACCTTGGCAGATGGGGTGAGGGGAAGAAGGAGGCTTGAAAAGATACAGACCTGCTAAACCTAAGTATGTCATCCCTAGCATATGATCCAGGAATTTCCCTGAAATCTGTTCCTGTGATGTAAGCAAATTCCCCTGCCAATCACTTTCAGTCTTTTGTAGAATTTCCCTTCGGGGTGGAGGCGGACTGTTGGTCGTAGGGAAGCACTAAGTTTCAAAGATTATCATCATTTGCTTGATGTCCCTGGCTCCTCTGCCTGCCTCTTGGGCGTGACTTATATAGACTGCTTGCCAGGCCAAAGACACCCACCTTGGTCTCAACACTAATGTTCATTTCCTACGTGGGCCAGCACTAAACAGATAAGGCTTAGATAGGAATCATCAAGACACCCTGGTCTGGGTTGGAGCCAAGTTATGAGTCCTAAGAGGTAATCCTGTGATTGAATATTGTTTAGGCTAGAGGTCTGAAAGAACTTAAACTACCCTTTGGTAGTTTGGTGAGTGAAACCTACTGACCCCTTCTCAGAATAAGATTTTGAAATGCATAAAATAGAAGACATAGGATTACAAAGGAAATAAATGTCATTTTCCCATCCAAGTTCATGGGCTTGAATCACTGACTGAAATCTGTCTAATGACCCCCCAGGTGAAGAACCTCTGGTTCTTAATGGACAGCTGGAATGGGTGGGGGGAGTTCCCGGGACTAGGGCAGAATTAATGGAAGCCTGTACACTATCCACATCTCGATCTAACTGATAAGATTCATGATTCTTCTTCTTTTTTTTTTTTTTGGCTAGGTAATGGGATTAAGTGACTTGCCCAGGGTCACATAGCTAGAATGTGTCTGAGGCCGAATTTGAATTCAGGTCCTCCTGAGTCCAGGGCCCGTGCTCTGTCTACCGTGCCACCTAGCTGCCCCAAGATTCACGATTCTTAAATCTACAGTCCTATAAGTTGTAGAAGGTCATAGCTGGTGGGGGCAAGAGGGTGGGAATGGGGGCCTTACAGACCAGTGAGGTTTAGAAACATAGCTTGTTATTTTAGAGCTGTAAGGAATCTTAAAAATTCCAGACCAGTGATAGGATCAATGAGTTGATGCTACATTGTAATTGATGATAAAGAAATGGTGAATCACATCACAGTGGCCAGATCAAAGGACTATAGGGGATGATGAGTTCTCAACACTGGTCAAATTCCCTGGGAATTCTTACCTAACCAAGTTATCTACTTCATCTAAAGAATTTTAAATCCTGTGTCAGAGTCCCCAGAGAGGAAAGGGGCTTACTAGATTCCTCCAGGGCATGGGGGAAGTGGGTAAGGACTCCTAACAGATAAGAGTGAAACCAAGGTCAAGCAGACCAGATCTTCTAGGCAGGTCAGAGCAAAACTAGGAGCAAAACCCCTGGTCCTCAAACTCTTTGGCTACCATGCCTTCCCAGGTATCACAGTGCCTCCCTAAACCCCCAGTTCATCTTGATGGTTTGCTAAACTCAGGGATCACAGGGACATAGATTTAGAGCTAGAAAGGACCTTAGTGGCCAAGAGGGGCATGCTCGTGAAATACTTACCAACAGGATGCCAAAAAACAAACAACTGTATGTATCACACTTGCAAGTTTAATCTGAATTATTAATATTTTTTCATAACTTTTCTTAAGTCTAAACAATCAACAAAACAATAAAGCCCAGATTAGTAACTTTTATAAATTTCTGAGGCATAAATGCTCACATTCAAAATTTAACAAACAGAGGCAGCTAGGTGTGGTAGTGGATACAGCACCAGCCCTGGAGTCAGGAGGACCTGAGTTCAAATTTGACCATAGACATTTACTAGCTGGGTGACCTTGGGCAATTCAGGTAACCCCAATTGCCTAAAAAAACCCATCTAACCATTGACTCTCAAGATCCTGGCTCTCCAGCTGGCTCCAGCACATTCCTGGAGACCACCAGGTCCAATCTCCTCATTTTACAGATGAGACTGAGGCTGATGGATGTTAAGTGACTTGCCCAGGGTCACATAGCTGGTAAGTAGGTGAGGCAGAATTTGAATACACATCTTGCTAATGCCAAGCCTGTGGCTCTATACACTGGTTCACCTTCCTGGTCCACATTCCCACAGGCAAGATGGTTGAAGGTGTTATCCTGTCTATCAGTGTAGGGAGCAATGGGAGTCTGAGACTGAATTGTCTTCAGGGTATGCTCTGGACTGGTGTCTTCTCTTCCCTTTATTTAAGGGCAATAAGAGCATCTGACTACAAAATGGTACGTGAGTTACTGGGATTTCCCCATTTCTGTGCATGGTGGGTGCCTCACAGAACACGCAAGGCTAACCCCAGCCCTGGTTCCTACAACCAATAATCATAACAACGGCTCTTTATGGTTAAAAAGTTTTCCTCACCACAAACCAGTGAGGGAAATAATGTAGGTGTTAACATCTCAATTGAACAGAGAGGAACTGAAACAAGTGACTTGCCTAAGGTCACACAGCTTTTCTAAGGCCTGAATCCTAGGCTATTTCCATTATTCTAGGAGGCATTCCTCCTTCTGTGAAAGGAGCTTGGGAATAGGAAAGAGGACAGATACTCACAGGAATCAGGAGAAGACCCCTCTGGCAGGCTGGTCTGCCTACAACCTTACCCCGAAGCCTCCCACACTGACCTGCTCATCGGCCCTGATGGATTCTGGAAAGCACAGCTGGAGATGTCATCTTGGGCTTCCACCAGCAGCTGCTGGAATCCATCCAGAGGACTGCGGTTGAATGAAGGAAAGGGGGAGAGGGGGATCCCTTAGAGAAAATGGACTAGAGATTGATGTCCCCCATCCCAATCCCCCCCCCCCACCAGATGCAAGGTTAGTAGGAATGGGAAATATCTATAGAGTTTTTTTTTTGTCTGCTGGATGAAATGATGTTGGGTCTATAGGGAAATAAGCCTTTGAATCAGCTGTGGACTAAACTAGATAACTCTAGGGTCCTTTCCAACTGCATTATAAATTCTGTGACCTAACTTCATCCCTTCAGACTCAGAAAATAGAGAGAAAGGACAACAGAGACTGGACAGATATGAGCTTTTCTCTTTCTCTTCCCCTAGCCTTCATTTTGCTTTCCTAATTACCCCATTATTCACTCTTTCCCTCCTTCCCAATCTCTCTCTCTCTCTCTCTCTCTCTCTCTCTCTCTCTCTCTCTCTCTCTCTCTCTCTGTCTCTCTGTCTCTCTCTCTCTCTCCACCAGCCCCCTTCCCTCACTCCATGAGACACTTGAATAGAGAACTTGGCATAGTAGAAGAAGCACTGGGAGTCTAAGTGGGAACTCTAACAATTATAATTATCTGAAAATGGAATAGGCTAACTTTTTTCAAAGGCTCCAGCCTTTGACTTTTTCAAGTGGAGGTCAATCAATTGATCCCTCATTTAGGGATGTTATAGACTAGATTTATGCTTTGGATATGGATTGGATCAGATGACATCTGACATCTCTTCCAGACCTGTTTTTCTATGAAAGTCACTTCACCTTTCCGGGCCTCAGTTTTCTAATCTGTAAAAATGAAGTGCTGAGGTCTTTTCTGCCTTTGCTATTCTGCTGATCTCAAAGGGCCATTGTGAAGGATGTACTTTATAAACTGTACATACCTATAGAAATGCAAACTATGTGCCACGATGTTATTTCCAGGGGAAAAGGTGAGTCCCAAAGTCATCCCACACCAGAAGCATTTCCCATGGTCAGATTTCTGGTTTTGTTTTTTTTTCTTTCTAATGATGATACTTGGATTGTTAAGAATACTCACCAATTTACTAGCTGTATGACCCTGGGCAAGTCACTTAACCCCACTGCCTAGCCAAAACAAACAAAAAAACCCACCACCACCAACAACAAAGAATACTCACCTCCACTAAGTGTCTACTTCAATCAAAGAAGGTACTAAAGATGCCACAGTTTTGACAATTAACAAGCCTCTATGCTATGCAAACCACCAGGCATACAAATAATAGAGGTGGGGACTAGGCTTACCCTTCGTTTCATAATAGGGAACTCAGGTAAGAAAAACTCATCAAATGCAGGTAAGCACTTCCAGTGCTGCAACTGAGTGGTTCTACCAACATTTAACATTTATTAAGCACCTACTATGTGCCAGAGGCTAAGAATTCAAAGGTGAAACAGCAGTACCATCCGGGAGTTCACAATACACTGGGGCACACAGATAAGCACAGCACAAATTAGAGGTGATGGGAAAAAATGAAAGGTCCATACCACATTGCTTACTGAAAATTTGTGTGAAGATCTCTTTTAGCCGGAGGGAATCAGGGCAGACTTCCAGGAAGAGACCAGGTTTCCTAAGGGTTTAAAATAGGGGTTCTTAGTCTGAGGTCTGTGAATTTGTGTGCATTTTGACATATGCCTTTCTCTTCCTACGTACTTTATTTTATGCAGGATTATTCTGAGAAAGGGTGGCAGCAACCGGCTTCATCAGAATGCCAAAGAGGTCCATGACAAAAAGGGTTAATGACCTCTGGTTTAAAAGATTGATATCCCGTCCCCTCCCCTACGTTCTCCCTTTGAAAGCACCAGCACAACTGAAGCGGAGCTGCTGACATCATGACATCATCCTACATCACTAGGGAAAACCTTACAATGAGCTTCCAAATGGAGCGAGTTTAACGTTGCCCAAGCGGCACAAAATGAGCGGTTTAACTTGATGGCTGGGAAATTCCGCAGTCCTCGAGAATCAGCAGCCCCTCAGTTCATTCTCATGACTGCCCCTAAAATTCTCCCCTCCACTCTCTGCTAGAGTCCTTCGTCCCCCTCCTCCCTTTCTTCATCCCTGGTTACTGAAGGCCAAGAGGGCAGGACCTTCATTGACACCTTTTGCAGTCACCCTGAAAGGGGAGGAGGGAATGTGGGCGAAGACAGGGATGAACCAATCGAAGCGTCCGGTGTCACGTGCGGCTTGATAGCTGACCAATGGGAGGTTGAAGGTGGGGCCAGGCTTCAGGGGGCTTGTAACTTTTATTGGAACTTGAAACGTTGAGTCTCAGTCAGTTTCTTCGATTTGTAAGTTTCGTTCTCGGCCTCCAGGCAGCTTTACACATGTGCCCCGGGCCCCTGAACAGCTGAGCTTTCTCGGTGGCGGCTGCTGCTGCTTTTTCTCCCTCTTCGTTCTGAGCTACATCCCCAGCGTCTCCGCCTTCCTCTCTCCATGGAGCCTTTTACTTTCCCCAAACGCTCCAGCCTGGCTTCCTCCGCTTCCGTGGGTCTCTCCTTGCCTCTGGCAGAAGGGCTTATCAAGTCTCCCAAGCCCCTAATGAAGAAACAGGCGGTAAAGCGGCATCATCACAAGCACAATTTACGGCACCACTATGAGTTCCTGGAGACCTTGGGCAAAGGAACCTACGGCAAGGTACAGAAAGCGAGAGAGCGATCGGGAAGACTGGTGAGTCCGGGGCACTCGGCTTTGGCCGGGAGGGGGGAGTCTACGCAGCGTGCGCAGAGCCTGAGTGATGGGGAAGGGGACTGAGTGAGCCAGAGAGCCTGGATCCTATTTAGATGCCCAGAACTATCAGTGAAAGGGTGAGCGAGACCTCCTCACCCGTGATCACTGAGGAAATAAAAAAAACCAACCATCTGGTAGTTCAGATTCGATAAGCAGGGAGAAAGGGAATGAGAAGTGTATTCTTGGAGTACCTACATGAGTACCTTTGAATATTCGCTCTCAAGGATGGTAGAGAGTAATGATGTGCTTTATTAGAGAACATCCCTGATCCCTGAGATCCACCTGTCAGCCCTCAGCGAGGACTGGTTGCTGGCTGCCTCTGTGGAAAAGTATGCTATTACCCCATTGTCTCTTGGTTTCTCTTTTCCGCTGCCATCCGAGCTCAATTTAAAGACAAGCCTGCCCCCACCCCCTTTTGCGTGAAGAAAGAAAAGCAGGGATTGCAAAGGACCATTGGGGCCTGTGGGTGATGAGCCAGAGGACTTCTGGGGATTGGGTTAGCAGAGAGTCTGCTTTGTGTAAACTGGTTTCTAGAAGCGTTGAGAGTGGGGGCTTCAGTATCCCCTCTAAGCCTCGGGGAGGGAGGAGATCCTTCAGCAAAGCTCAGACAAGGTCCCTGGGATCTGAAAAAGAAGAGGCCAGTGGTTATTTGGAGTGGGAAGTACAAAAGCCCCTAAAGAAGGGATTCTATTAGAAGGTGGTGGGGATTTTTGATGATTTTTTGGTTTTGTTTTCTAATGTCCTTAAAGGTCAAGGTTTACCATATTGGATCTGACCCCAGTCTCCACCCCTTACTTGGTGTTTGCTGCTTTTGTTGTTAGTTGCTGATTTGAAATGCAAAAAGTCATTCATTGGTGAAGGAGGGAGATGGCTGCAGATGGGTGGAGATGGGGGATGGATTATGAACCAATCAATAGAATTGTTTTTGTGTGTGTGTGTGTGTGTGTGTGTGTGTTTTCACTTCTAATGCCTGGCACAGTCCCCAGATTCTGGCTGCCAACTTGGAGCTGTTGGGCAATACTGTACTTTTCTTTCTGTTTCTGAAGTATGAGGGCCAGGTGAGTAGGATCCGGGTTTTGAGATTACCTGGTCTGAGCCTTTTGTCTGCCGTTCTTGGATTGAAATGAGTTTCTCATGCCACTGCCTCCTTCCCCTCTCCTTGACCCCCAAAGAGAGCTGTATTCTTAAGGTCCCAAGAACCTCTTCTTTTCCTCCAGAAGGGAGAACTCAGAATTTCGAAGTTTATGAGCAGTGCTGGGTACCAGACCTTCTGTTCCATAGAATTTAGGAGCAGCATACCCGAAGCTAGATTCCCACCTTGCAAATAGTTACCTAGTGGGTATAGTGTCTCAATTCACAAGGCATCGGCTCAGTCCGTGGAAGAAGAGGGCTTTTTCTTCAACCTTCTGGTGCCAACCGCTTCAATCAGTCAGCAAGTATTTATATTTAGTAGTGCTTACTATATGCCAAGGGGGGCAGCTAGGTGGTTTAGTGGATAGAGCGCAGGGGCTGGAGTCAGAAAGACTCACTTCCTGAGTTCAAATCTGGCCTTAGACCTTTGCTAGCTGTATGATCCTGGGCAGGTGATTTAACTCTGTTTGCCTCAGTTTCCTCATCTGTAAAATAAGCTGGAGAAGGAAATGGCAAGCCATTCCAATATATTTATTCTTTTTAAATAAATAGTATTTTATTTTTTCCAATTACATATAAAGACAATTTTTAGCATTCTTGAGTATCTTTACCAATAAAACTCCAAATAGGGTCACCAGAGTCAGACACAACAAAATAAACTATATGCCAGGCATTGTGCACCTACTCCATGAAATCTTCCTCGATTGACTGATACTATTGTGCCTGGAAGTCTTAGCTTTCTGCACATTTCTGAAATCAATTCTTTGGGTCTTTACCCTCCATTAGGATCAAAGATTTAAAGCTGAAAGATCATCTAGTCCGATTTCCTTATTTTGTAGATGAGGAAACTAAGACCCACAAAGGTTAACTAATTTGTTCAGTTATTCAGGTGGCAGAGAGTGTAAGCTTCTTCAGAGCAAAATCTGTATCATTTCTGTCTTTGTATCCAGTGCTTTGAACACAGTAGGCATTTAATAAATAATTTTTTTAAACCTGGGATTTGTTGAAATTCAATTCCCAGGTATCTATACTACCCTCCTAGAAGGGCTGTCCTTAGGGGTCCTGCCTCTACCCCAAGGGTTGGGTTGGGAATATAGGGAGGAGTGACTTCCCTCCTACCCTTAACCAACTTGAGAAGGCATCATCAGAAGCCAGATTGGACTGTCCTGTCTGCAGAGAGGACGGAGGGACATTACTAATGGATACTCCAGAAAGGCATCAAAGGAAAGGCAAATATTTGTGCTGGATCCTTCAGCCTCCTGAGTATACTCCTGGCATCTAAATGACATTTCCTCCTGTTCTTCCCCAGCAGGAAGCTCAAGGACCTGTGCCCCCAGCCCAGAGACACTTGCCTCCTCCTAAGCCTCCTGTGCTAGTCCTCTCTCTCACCCTCATACACATGGCCTGAGCTCCCTGTATAGAATACTACTGACCTCGGGTCTCATATGACCAGGAAGTTAGTGGATGGGCTGGAATTTGGCTCAAGGAGTCAGTTGATGCCCATCTTTATGCCCTACATTATTACCCAGTAGCCTTCTCCGTCTCCTCTATCCTGGCATCATGTGCTTATGGTGGAATAGAATAGTTACCTGAATTCCACACTAGGCCTAATCCCAGGGCACAGTCAACCTGTAAAACCCTAGATCAGAGCCTACTGTGTGGCCTTAACCCGAAGCCTGTCTGGATAATCAGATGAGTGATCAGTGCCAGGTAAACCACTGTCCGTGTATGGAATTTTCTAATCAGTCTCATCCCTTGGCCCCCATCCAGTATGGCCTGGGTCCTCATCCTTCCTGCCTAGAGCAATGGGGGTAGAGATGTTGATGCAATTATTAGGACCTGGTCCTTTCCCAGAGTGTCCTCCTTCATATGCTCCTCCTTTGATTTTTTTTTCTCTCTGTATTGCAGCTGCCCTGTGTGATTCTGGGCTTTTGAGTTAGAGTTAGGGAGCTTCAGAGAAAGGTACCCATGGGCCAACCCTCTTAAGCACATGGGCTCTGGAGCCCAAGGACTTGGGGTCAATGCTCCCCTCCTGATACTTCCTATCAGTGTGACCTAGGGCAAATCACTTAACCCCACTGGGCCTCAGTTTCCTCATTTGTAGCCGGAGGGAGTTGGCCTGGAAAGGCCCTGACGGCCCCTATAGGTCTTGATCTGTGATCCTTTGATCAAAGGTGCTCTTGTCTCTTGTAGTCTTTGGGGAGTGTGGATAAACAAACTCCTGCCACTGGGGGGACTTAGCTCTCCTTTCACACTGTCCCCAGGGGTCGGTAGTCAGTGATCCATAGGCCCTCT